CCGCTACTAACTGTATTCCATTTTCCAGGGTATGTACCCTCCTTAGTGTGAGAAAATGTTGTGTCTTCTGGTAAGCTTCCCCTTGTGGCAGGTAAAATCCTTTTCACTGTGTTTAGCAGTCTCTGAACTGACTAGGAGGTTACAGAGGATTTGCTTCAACATTCCATCCATATCTCTAGTATAAGGCCCGGTGGTGTAGTAGGTGCTCAATAAATAGTTTTTGAAGGAAGGAAGGAGGACCTCTGATATATAGTATATCAATATATATTATATAAAATAACAGCAAGTTACTTTACTGTGAGTGCTCTGCAGAGGGACTCATTTTATCATTTCAGACTAATTTGGAGATTTTTCTCTAAGCATAGAAATCACTTATTTTTATAATGTCTAAGCAAATTTATTAGATTGAGTAAAAAGTCTTTAGTATTTTCTCTTTGGTAGTATAATCTTCCAGGAAGGTTTTCAGTAATAGGTATCCTTTGAGTAACTATGCATGCTTATCTAATTCAGTTTGCTTCTCTCATGTTTTTTCCAGCTTTATTGAGATATAATTGATATAACATTGTATACATTTAAGGTGTACAGTGTGATGATTTGATACATGTATATATTGTGAAAGTTATCACATCCTTTACCTCAATTGCCATTTTGTTGTTGCTGTTATGGTGAGAATGTTAAAGCTGTTTTCATACCAGCTTTCATGCATATGATACAATATTGTTAAATATAGTCACTATGTAGTACCTTAGATCCAGGAACTTACTCACCTTATAACTGGAAGTTTGCACTCTTTGACCAACATCTCCCTTATCCCCTCAGTCTCTGGTAACTACCATTCTATTCTTTGTTTCTATGAATTTGATGTTTTTAGATTCTACATTTAAGTGAGATCATACAGTATTTTATTTTCTCTGACTTACTTCACTGAAAGGTTTCAAGGTCCATGCATGTCACAAATAGCAGAATTTCCTTGTTTTTTAAAGCTAATATATTCCATTGTATATGCTATATTTAATAAATAAGTTATATAGATATTAATATATATCTAATATATGTATACCGTGTTTTTTAATCCATTCATCTGGTGATGGGTATTTAGGTTGTTTCTGTTTTCTTGGCTATTTTGAATAATGCTGCAAGCTTCTCTCATATTTTTCTGAATTCTGTTTATGTTCAGATAATCTCATGGATCCTAAGTTTTTTCAAAGCTTAAAATAACAGTTCAATCTGAAGTCATTGGTGTGCAAAATTACAAGTAGTGCTTATGATTGGCCTAACAGTTATTGTTCAGCATCTGTATATAGAAAAACACTTAAACGACAAGCTACTGTTCTTATTTTTTATTCTGTATCTTTAATATAAATTCCCAACTCTTACTTCAAGTACATAAAACTTGGAAATTTTTTGCATGAAAAAGCTAACTAATGAGCTTCTGAAGTTTTAGAAGGTGAGAGTATTTTGAGTCCTTTCTTTCTGTTTTTTTAATTAAGGTACCATTGACATACAATCTTACGAAGGTTTCACATGAGCAACATTGTGGTTTCAACATTCACCCATATTATCAAGTCACCCCCACCCCACTGCAGTCACTATCTATCTGTATAGTAAGATGCTAGAGTCATTCCTTCTCTTCTGTCTTGAATCATTTCTAATCTTACTTCCTTTTTTTGGTTTTATTTCCTCATTTTTGACAGCTTGTATAAGCTTTAATTGTTAAATATTTAGAACAGAATGTAGACTAGAAGTCTTAAAATTTTGTAGGGCTTTTATGTTTTGTGATATATGAAATAGTAGGTGTCATTGTAAAGTGAACTAGGAGACAGCAACTGTGACTTTGAATATTGCCTAATGTGCCTGATACTATACTTAAAAAGACATAAGCAGTATGATATTTGGCAGGATGTTTAATACACTAAATCTCCAGATTATCAAACCTCTATCTCATTGTGTAGTTGCAAAGATAAGTAAGATAGAAAGGTGAAAGAGCATGAAGTGTTTTATATATATATATAATTATATATATTTATAATTGTGTGTATATATATTATATTTCTTATATAAATATATATTTTATATATTTTTTAAATTATATATATATATAATATGTTCCTTTATTACTAAAGTGGATGGTTAAATGTATCTTCTTTTACCTTACTCGTATAAAAAGAAATTCATCATAAAGAGTTCTTCACACTATAAGCTTGCATAAGTTTTTTCATAAGCTTTTCTAAACCAATGCGGGGAACAATGAAATGAATGTACCACCATAGTTCTTTACTTTTTTGCTGTGTTTTCCTAAAATTATTTTTAAAAGACCAGCAAATTCAGTTAGACATAAGTTTATTATCTAACTATTCTTTCATTAGGCTAAATAGTGCTTTTGTGATTGAGGAATAGGTAAAATCCAGTTGAAGGCAGTATTTGAGAACTGTCTTTTTAAAAATGACTTAAGAAACCAGTGGTGGCCTACTGTGGTAACGAATTGATTTCTTTGTTAAGTGATGTCCCAATTAATTGAGTACCCACTTAGTGTGTACTTGGCATTAAAAGTCAACTCAGTATTTACTAATATATGTTATTTTGCTTTGCTTTTTTGTTTAACTTTAATTCTCCTTGAACATCCTATCTACTAGCAGTAAACTGTTTTAAGGAATTCAAATCTCTAAGAAGAAAGTGGTCTTTGCCTTTTTTCTTATTATAAACAGCTTCTAAGAAAAGTAGATTCCAAAGACTGTTAGACCTCTTGACTTCTGATATCCCAGCTAGATATGAAAAAAGAAAGGTTTCTTACAGTTGGTGCTCTGTGCACCACATTTTTGAATAATAGCAAGATGATAAATACCACAGGTTGGTAAGCTAAGCTAATAAAAAGCAAAACCTAATATTTGAAGAATGTAATATGGCCAAGGTCACCCCATTAGTAGTGGATGTTGTATAAAAAAGAAAAAAAACTGGTCATTTATCCTGTGAAGGACATATTTAGCAATCACATATTCATTCTTTAGTTGAGTGAAGAATTCATTCTTTCAATTTTTAAATGAATTAGGATGTGGAAGACTCAGTAATATAAAAGCTCATTTTTTACATTTCCTTCATGATTAGTTGCTTTCTAGGCACAAAATCAGAATTCTGTGAAAGTGATATGTTATCAAGTGTTTTAAGCCATATTTCATGAGTGTTTTTGTATAGTACGCTAAAAATTTAGGTACCTTATAAAATGTTGTGTATGAGATTGATGTTGGCAAGTAGGAGAAAACAGAGTTTTAACAAACTCTGTTTTGTTTTGACAAAATTTTTTTTAACAGTGAGTTTACATTTCCAGGACCAGAATTAATGCAAGAGTTTTTAATGTCTTATAATTAATTTACTTAGGCTACACTGGGTCAAGGCAGCTTTAGAGAGTAATTCTGTCAGAGAAGACTAGTATATTAGAGACAAATACAGTGACCCACTAGTCGTTACTAACATGTTTGAAAGATCAGAGACCCAAAGTCTCTGGTCTTATTCAGGGATTCAGATCTCTGAGAAGAAAGTGGTCTTTGCCTTTTTCCTCCTGGATCTGTCTAGGAAAGTGTCCTGTGGGAACACTGAGCTGTGAAGAATCTACAGAGTTGCAAGTCTACAGACTTTGTTTTCTCTGTAATGGAAAAAGAATATTTCAATATTTTTCATCTATGTTGAACAAGTTGCATTTGAATGTAGAGAAAATTGTGTTAAGCAAAACCAACTTTACAATTTGTTTTTTCCTTTTCTTCTTCCTTGTTGCAGTTTTACATGTTCTGTACTCAGTTCAAAAGGACAACTAGGGAGTTAACAACCATTTGATCAATAAATATGAGAGATGCCCTCTCAAAAAAAAAAAAGAACAACTAGGGGAAAAGATGTACTAATCAGTGTTCTCCCTTTCTCTGCATTGAGGCTTATGCCACTCTACTTCCTCTAAGGTTGGAGGAGGCATTCCTTTAGCTGGCAGTGACTGTGACTGGCCGCTCGGTCAGTGCTGCTCTGAGAGCCACTCATGATCCCCTGCCAGTCTACAGACTGTCTACTCTCAGTCTGTGATAAGCACAGAATATCATATTAAATGTTGAGAAACTTCTTGCAGTTTGACATTGTCCTGATATCTAAGTGCATGATTTTGTGTTTGATAAAAGTATTGATTCACAGCAAATTAGAGAAGGTCCTTCACCATAGACAGTTTGAAAAGCACCAAACTAGACAACCACTAACTTCTAACGCAGCGATTACAGGCTGGGGCAAAGGGGAATGTTAAGTGACTGTCCTGTTGATCCAGCTGTATGTGGTTAGGTACCCAGCTGTGGCAAAGCCCAAATGAATCCATTTCCCCAGCATAAAATCCAGGATCATCCTAAATTATCAGTGATAATCATGCTAATTCAGTCAGTCAGCCATTCGTGTAGTTTCTAAATACCTTTTTACTGTTTCTTACTTGGATTTGAAGCACTATCTGCTAAATGTTATGTAACAACCTTACTAATTTCTGCATTTTCCCTGGGAAGTCATTGAATCATTTGAAAACCTTGAAGCTGTATTTCTCTTCTATGTTAGTAAATCACACTCTGGTATAAAAAAACAGTGTTTATTAGACATGGCTATAAAGTTTGGTCTAACATAAATGGATAAGTAAGAGCAAGAGAAGCTCTACTGACAGTACTAATTGTGAAACTTTCTTAGATACGGCATTTTCCTTTGGGATATTTCAGTCATTGCTCCTTTTAAAATTTCAGTTAGCAATTGATGACATAATTGAACCACAAGTTTCTGTTAGCTCTGAAAATATTAATTTTCAATTTAGCATTATAATCTAAGATATTTTGACCTTAATAATACATTGTTCTAATATTTTTTGAGGCGTTACTTTTTAAAGAAAGTTGCCACTATTACTCTAGAGCAAAAAAAAAGTTTGGCTCGTCCTATATAAAATTTGAAGTTGTTAATGAATTTATCACAAATGTCCTTCATTTTATTTTTTAATGTAGATACCAAGGGGAATCGGCAGACTTGAAGCATGAGTTCAGATGCCAGTCAACCCGTGATCACCACTCCTCCTCCTCCCAGCATGCCTCACAAAGAGAGGTATTTTGACCGCATCAATGAAAATGACCCAGAGTACATTAGGGAGAGGAACATGTCTCCTGATCTCCGACAAGACTTCAATATGATGGAGCAGAGGAAACGTGTTACTCAGATCTTGCAAAGTCCTGTGAGTTGAAATAACTAGAAGGCTATAATTTTTCTTCCTCTTTGATAAGGTAGGAGGTATCTTAAACTACTCTCAGGTTAGAAGAGGGGTGGAGAAAGAGTAACTACTTGCCCCCCATTTTTCAGTGGCAAAATGAACACATAATCTATATATTTAATTTGCAGACCTCTAGTAACATGCTAGCATTTTCTTGGTGGTATAAGTTTTGCTTGTGTCATTTCTGAGTATCATGCTTTATTAAAGGAGGACAAAAGCTGCTACAAAGCTCAAGGACACCCAGTTCAGACTGAATATCTGTAAAGAAAGAAAGGCATGGCTGAAGTGTTAGGAAGTGAGTTGGGTATATCCCCTGCACATATTTTCTTCCTTTGGGTACCTTGACATTTAGAGTAGCATGGGAGGACTGAAGGTTTTGAGGACGCCTATGTTTTGGCAGCCTGATGTTACATACACCTAATGCAGGCCCCCACACGTGCATACACATCGAATTAAAAGTGGATTATAAACTCAGCCCACGCTGAAAATTCTGTCCGCACAGTAATATCCAGACTTTGTAAATTGTATTCAAGTTATTAGTTTTCTTACAAACCCTTAGTGGAATGCAAAGGTCACATGATGTAAATGATGGAAAATAAGAGAATGGCTTGATTTAAGATTTAAAATGAATTTGTAACTTAATGCATACTGAAGATCATGGGCTCCTTAAGGCAGAGATCAGCACACACAGACACATGATGCCCAGGTTGGGGTTATATCAGGTTTCCAATTTAGGTACTAAAATAAGCACCAAGGCATGAGCTGCCTGAGGTAGCCTTAGTAAATCATTTTTGTGCCCTTGTGAATTTAATCACAGAGGTTGAATCCAAAGCCAAAGGAGAATTCCACTCGGAGTAATTCTCCTATACCAGTGGCCTAGATAAAAGTAAGCACAAGTTATAAAAGCAGTGCAGGCTTTAAGGAATTTAAGTGTATCTTAAATTTAAAGCTACATTTAAATAAACCCTTAAACCCTTTCCCAGTGGAATGGAACCAGAGAATTCATCATGAGGGAGTAAATGTTCAGTGCCTTCTTTTATACAAACCTGAATTTCTATGTTTATAAATGTTTGACAGGTACATTTATTATTTGGATCAAAACAGATATATTTCCTCCTTAAAGAAATCTCACTTTTAAGACCTAACTTACTAGCTAAATGACTGCAGTAACATACAGTAAAAAGTAACTGAAAGAATAAGGTGAAGTTCAGGTTTCTTTCAAGGATGTTAAATATTGAGATTTCTTTGGGAAGTGCTCCAGGGACCATTCAATTCTAACTGTAAAGTTTAAAATAAAAAAGTACTAAGCTACATTTCCATGTCAGGGTTTTATTTAATAATAGACAGTATAACTGAATAGATTATCTAATTTTGTTTATACCTCTGTATATCCATTTTTAAATCAACTTTGAAGTATCAATTTTATTTATGCTTCAGGGAACTTAATAAAATAATGGGAAAAGGCAGACATAGGTTGTTATTTCTATATTCATGTAGTGAGATTGATCATTTTTAGCCCAGTGAGGAACAAAGATGAAATGGGTTTTGTTTTTGTTTTTTGGCAAAAAAAAATCACTAGATTTTTGCTAGTGAATTTAAAATCTTGTTTTCAGAAGACTTGGAAAAATATATAATTTTGTCTTCCTGCCATGTTTTAGGACAGTGATTTTCAAATTTCTTTTAATACAGTGGAGGAATTTTATGCACCAAAGGAACTGATGTGTGGTGGCCTATATTAGTTTTTTATTGCCAACTAACAATCTCTCCAAATTTAACAGCTTAAAACAATAAGCTTTTATAATCTCATTGTTAATGTGGGTCAGGAATTCAGGACCAGCTTCACTGAATGGTCAGAACATCAGCCAGGGCTGCTGTCATCTGAAGGCTTGAATTGGCTGGAGGTTTTTGGTCTTAAGATAGGTCACTCACATGGCTCTTGGCAAAAGGCCACATTTCCTTGCCACATGGATCTTTATCTGAGGCTGTTTGAATGATCTCCCTGAGGGCAAGTATCTGAGAAAAAACAAAGAGGAGCCTACAGTGCTTCTTATGACCTTATCTCAGACATTAAACACCATCACTTCCACCATACTTATTTAGAAGTGAGTCACTAAATTCAGCTGTACTTAAAAGGGGAGAGGAATTAAACTCTTATCTTTTGCGATGAGGATTGTCCATTGTCTGATCACAATTTATTTACCTTTCTCCACATGCAAAATATACTCACCTTGTCCTATCACCCCTGCAAAAGTCTCATCCCATTACAAATTAGCCTGCATCCAGAAATTTATCTAAATCTCATCGAGGTACAGATTATGCTTCTCAGGTGTAATTGCTTAAGTTCAGCTCCTCTCAATCCATGGATCTGAGAACTAAAGAGACAAATTCATCTGTCCTCCCATACACACCCAGTGGTCAGGCAGGCTATAACTGCTATAGACATTCCTGTTCAGAAAGGGGAAAAATTAGGGGTACAATGAAGTAATTGGTCTGTACCAATTCTGAAATCCATCTGGGCAAATGTTTGGAAGTTCCCGTGATGAGTTCCTGTCATAAGTCCTTCTGCTTACTAGTAGGGAAAATGGAAGTTCCTATGGCCAGGATCCTCACCTGACCCTAATCTATTTGCCCTCTGAGCAGATGCAGTGATTTAATAATTGGCCTACTGTAGAGGTGCACACTTACACACTGTTGTGTTGCTATATAAAGAACTCCACCCAGTGCTCTATGCAGCTGGAGGAGGCAAAAGCAGACACAGATAGTGGACTTGCTGGATGCAGATGTGATTCTAGCACTCAACCTGCCATCATGAAAATAAAGCTTGGTGTAAGACCTTTTACCTCCAATGTTCCATTGTCATTATTCAGTCTCACCGAATCCAGAGTGAACTTGCCTGAAGCTGGAACCTCTGGCCAGACACTAGCAGTATTCCCCTAGCTCTTGGCTCTGCCCTCTGGGCTTTTCCACCTTTGGAATCATTCTGCCTTTTCCTTGAGTAGCCTGTGTTTGCAACTGTGTTTTTCTCAGCTTGCTTCCTTTATGTAGAGGTTTTCGGAGATCAAAGGCCTATTTTCTTTTTGTACTGTGTTTGTTCCTCTAAGCCCAAACTTGGAGTGTTTCTGCCAAAATAATTCTCATAAAACTTTTGAAGGTCTCCTACAAATTTTGAGTTCATTCTGTGAGATAAAACCTGTAACCAATAAATAACAGAATCAAATATATTTTTAATTCATGTTTGTAAGAAACAAATTTGTAAACCTTCTGTTTAAAATGCTGAGTTTAAATATTGCTTCTCTCTCACGTACCAACTTTACATTTCCCTATTTGGCCCCAGAAGATGACTGGTTAGCCAGAGATGGGTAAGATTCCTCAAGGGAGGAACAACCTAAGACAGGCACAGTCGCAGGGGGGCCATAGGTGAGAAATTGGGGATCAACAGAGGTGAGGCCTAGAACCTCACCCCCCCCACTGTTTTGAGAGAAATCTTCTGCATTCGTGGATGTTTTGTTGCCCTTGTCTAGCTTGGATTAACTCATAGTCTATAGGCACACACCTGATCATCTACATTTGCCCTCTTACAGCACTAAACTATGTTTTCTACCTTTATCTTGCATCTACCTACCACTTCAGCATTTTATTAAAAATAATAATGTAATAATAAGGGAGAAATGTGGGATTCACATATAAATCAAGTATAAAAATCAAACAAATAATCATATTTGACCTGATTGTTTATAGTTCATGATGCGTGATCAAAACCAAAAGTTTCTGTGATGACTGCCCTTGCACTGTTCACCATGTAAGAACTTATTCACTATGTAAGAACTTGTTCACCATGTAAGAACTTGTTCGTTATGCTTCAGAAGATTGGAGACTGTTGAGAATTAGGCTTGGGGTTGATTAATGATTGTGCATTGAGTCCCCTATACAGAACTTTATTGTTGTTAACAACCATTTGATCAATAAATATGAGAGATGCCCTCTCAAAAAAAATAAATAAATAAAAATAAATAAATAAAATGCTGAGTTTATTTGGGGAAAAAAGGAAATCAAGAGAGAAACTAATAGAAGCAAAGTATAATACTTTTTTTTAAGCACTTACTATGTGCCAGAGACCTATATTATTCATGAAATCCTATTTAATCCTTAAAACAACTTAAAGAAATATTAATACCTTGAGTTTATAAATGAATAAACTGAAACTTAAAGACATTAATAACTTGCTGAAGTTTTTACAATCTTAGATGATAGGGTTTGAACTAAACCCCAAAGCTCACACCCTTAACCACTAGACTGTACTTCTTAAAACATTAAAAACAATGAAAAATTTCACCCATGTATTATTGTTTCATTCATCTTTAAATTCTATTGCTCAAATTAATTCAATTCAAGAAGAGTTTCCAATCAAGACATTTTGGTGTATGTAAATTTGGATGGCAAAAGTAACACCTTACTGCCTTGAGCTGAGAAAATAAGAGTGAATAATTTGTCTCATTCTTACTTCAAGTATTACTTCTAGGAATATCACAGACTTGTCATATATATATATTTTTTTAATTTAAGAAAGTATTTCTCTTAGAAATCAGTTGCTGGTGAGTAAACTCTTTTAGCTAGAAATTTTAAGGCAGTAGAGAACCCACAAATTTCTTGGAACAATATACTCCCCATATGTGTGGCTACAGAGACATGGATTGTCATTTAACCCCTTGTCTCAGATTGAAGTATCCAGGGCACACTGTTGGAATTAAATGATGCCTCATCAAAGAAGGAAGCCCTGTAAGTTGAAAAGTCAGATGGCCCATTATGCATAGTAGATATATAATAAATTTTGCATACA